GATTGTTTATTATCAATTATGATTATCAATAGATATACTTTCTGTATTGTCAGTTAGTGTATTTATAAACTCATAACAATGTGCCTTACTACAATTGATAATAACAATGCTGTGTATCTGCTAATATCGATATTATAAAAAACCAATTAGCTACCTATATTTGTAATTCCTATTAACTCAAAAATTTGAAACTTTAAATGATTATATCTAATAAACGAATTAAGTTATATTAAAAATTCAAATGCCATTTACTATTAAATNTTATATCTAATAAACGAATTAAGTTATATTAAAAATTCAAATGCCATTTACTATTAAATTAAAAACTCAAACATTTTATTAAATTAAAAATATGTGTTACCATTTAAAAAAACAAAGTTGACCCCCCTCCAAGGCATAAGGGATGAACTTAAAAAGTATTACATAGTTAAAAATTCAAGAATAATGTGTAACTAAAGATAATGAAAAAAAAAAATGTTTAAATTATTATTATTTTGCAAGTAATTGAGTGGGTTATGATAAAAAAATTACCCTGTATATAATAAAAAAATAATAATCTATGTTTAGGTTTAGTCGTTAGCAGTGATGCTTCAATTGGTAAAAAATAAGTTACTAACATTAAGTTATTTTCATATAAAAAGATTATATTCTTAAAAATTTCTTAATTTAAGATATTGATAATATTATAACTTTCGATTCAAAATCAAAAATTTATTATATATTATATAATATAAAAACTAATCATCTATGTTTAGGTGAACAGGATGGTGATGGCTCATCAAATAGTAAGTAATAAATTACTACCATTAAGTATTTATCAAAATAAAAGATTATTTTCTTTTTATTATCACATAAAAGATATTGATAATGTTTATAATTTAGATTGAAAATTGATAAATTCGTTTAATTTTCAATTTGAATGCATTTAACGATGTATAATATAAAAACTAATCATCTATGTTTAGGTGAACATGATGGTGGTGGTTCATCAAATAGTAAGTAATAAATTACTACCATTAAGTATTTATCAAAATAAAAGATTATTTTCTTGTAATTATCACAAAAAAAGATATTGATAATGTTAATAATTTAGATTCAAAAGTGATAATTTCGTTGAATTTTTCAATTTGAATGCATTTATTAACTATATATAATAAAAAAATAATAATCTATATTTAGGTATAGTTGATATCAGTGGTGCTTCAATTGGTAAAAAATAAGTTACTAACATTTAGCTATTTTCATGTAAAAATATTATTTTATCAGATATGTGTCTTATTAATATATTGATAACATTTAGAATTTGGATTTAAAGTTGATAATTTTGTTGAATTTTGCAATTTGATTACATTTAATGTTATATAATAAAAAAAGAAATCATCTATGTTTAGGTGAACGTAATCGTCGTCGTCCTTCATTTCGTAAGAAATAAATGATTAAATTTAATTTATTTTCCAATAAAAAGATTATTTTATTAGAAATTTCACAAATTTAGATATTGTTGATGTTAACAATTTGGATTCAAAATCGAAAATTTTGCTAAATTTTTCAATATGGATATATTTGTTGTTAAAAACAAATAAATTATTTATCTATGTTTTGGTGTAGGTGTTGGTAGTGGCGTTTCTATTGGTAAGAAAAAAAACCAACATTAAGTTGTTTGTGAATAAAAAGATTATTATTTTTTAAACGTTACTCATTAACATATTGATAATGTTAATAATTTGGATTCAAATTTTTTAATTTTGTTAAATTTTTCAATTGAAATACATTACATGATATATAATAAAAAAACTAATCATATATGTTTAGGTGAACGTAATCGTCGTCGTCCTTCAACTCGTAAGAAATAAATGATTAAATTTAATTTATTTTCCAAAAAGAAGATTATATTATAAGAAATGTCTCTTATTATGATATTGTTAATGTTTATAATTTGGATTTAAAATTTATAATTTTGTTGAATTTTTCAATTTTGTAAAAAATCAAATCATTTATGTTTAGGTGAACGTGATCGTCGTGATCATTCAAAAAGTAAGAAATAAAATACTAACTGTTTAGTTCTATACAATAAGTGTCGTTATTGTTGTTTAATTTTATCGTTGTACAGCTCACCGCTTGCGTATGTAAAATAAAGGCATATAAATTTTCGTACTTGACGTCCTTCACCCGAAACGTCTAGTGTATATCGGGAACGCGAAAATGCAAATATTTTTCTAACGAAAGCGCGTTATCAGAGTACACGTGTAAAACGTTGTATGCACGTGTTCATTTATAATTCTAAAAAATCAAGTTGGAAAAGCGTTAATTTCTACCTGACGTAGTTCATATCAGTAACGATTGCTATATGCGGAATATAATAATATAATTATATGTTATTAACGCATTTTAATCAAAAAAATTTAGAAGTGCTTTAGATATTGTCGTAAGTATTGTGAAACAAATATAGTTAAGTGTAAAAAACCCGTGTGCAATATTTATTAAGTGTCGACGTTCAACGATTATTGTGGTACTATCGTTAAATTTGTAAATTGCCAAAATTACCACAAACGCTCTCTGGCAGTTAATAGAGTGTATATATATATAGATAATTGATATATTATTATCGGTGAAAGCCAAAATAAAGTATTTCTGAAGATAACTTTAAGAGTGAAGCTATACGATTGAGTATAAGGAGAAGTCAATTAAAATCGACATTGACCAAATTCTTAAAAATTTTTTCGGGGTGAAAAGTCGAACTTAATAGAAATTCGACTTAGGCGAGAAAAAATTAAGGAAGCATGGAGCGAGTACGAGCCCATGTAAAAGCGTTATTTATCTTATAGACATTAACGGTAGAATCAGGTGATAAACTTCGAGCTTTTACAGACTCAATAAAAGGACACATTTAAGCATTAAAAGCACTTAATCAAGAGCCAAAGACGTGGAATCCTATGTTAATATACTTAGTAACCACCAAGTTAGATAGAAGTCGTCTTCAAGCATGGGAAACGGAATCGGGTCTAAATGAACTTCCTACAGTTATCGAATTGATTGAATTTTTAGAAAAAAGATTTAAAATAATAGATTAAATCATCTAAAACAATCAACTATAGAAACACTACAACACTGGCTACCCATAGTCAATATATCAAAAACATATGGTACGTAGCAATGCTTATGCTTATAACTGAACGTATGGCACAGATTTTACGGTTACCGAAAAGCCACGTCGACCAAAGCGTCCAAGGAATTGGTGAAACCTACAAAAGATTAAATCTCGAGTAATTGTTGCAGCTAACTCACTATTCTGTAACGTATCCATGCTTAGTAGTACTACGAGTAACCTACCAGGCATTTGACAAAATGGTAGCTGCCTGATTCCGAAGTTTATAGTATTAGCAGATTCGGGATTTATCGTGCCACAGAAAATCAACTTATTGATCGAAGCTTTCTACGATTTAATATGTACAGGGAATAAAAAGCCACGACCAGACGGTCCTATATTTCAGTAAGCAAGTACAAATGTTGCTGATTCATCGGAGAATAAGCAGCTCAATAGTACGAGCCAAAAAACGACGGTTTTCCTTACGGCGAACGACAATTCTAACCCACTAGAAAATATTTTTTTTATAGAAAATATAATGGGTAAGTTTTGGCACTTAGAATAGTACACAGAAAAAAATATATGGACTTTAAAAGAAGAAGTTAAGTTAAATCATCTATTTTTAGGCGAATGTGATCGTTGTGGTACTTCAACTGATAAGAAATAAATTACTAACAATTTGTTATTTTCGAATAAAAAGTTTATTTTATTTTATATTTCACTTATTAAGATATCGATAATGTTAATAATTTGGATTTAAAATTAATAATTTTGTTGAATTTTTCAATTTGAATATATTTAATGATATAAAATAAAAATATTGTATAATGTATTTTCATTGAAGTTCCTTGGTGTGTTTCAAACAACCAACTATATAACGATTTAAGAGTCAATACAGTTAAAGGAACAGATATTAACTACTATTTAAGATCTTAAATTCTACTATTATATTCTCTACTATTTAAGTTTTTTAATTTTTTATTAAATTGTAATATTATGAAATTGGTGGATAAAAACGATTTTATTCAAATCTTTAGACAGTGTTTAATTTTAAAAAATGGGTGAATTATTCCAAAAGCTACATGATCTGCTATTTCCTTATTAATGTTTTGATTGAAAATGAAATTATTAAAAAATATTATTTCTCATGAGAAAAGTCACGGCCAGAATGCCCTGTATTTCAAGGAACAAACAACGAATGGGTTATTGCTGGTTCATCGGAAAATAAACAGCTCAATATTACGAGCCAACAAACCGACAGTTTTCCTTAAGGTGAGCGACAATTCTAACCCACTAGAAAATATACTGAGTAAGTTTTGGCACTTAGAAGAAAAAAAAATATATGAATTTTAAAAGAAGAGGCGTGCAACAAATACTTTGATCGTCATTTATTGAACGTTCATTATATTGGGTGATAAATATATTAATAGTGCAATGTGGTGACGTAGTGCATTTTATTCTGAGGTGTTCCAACGACTTGCAAGCTAAGTATAACTGTTTAAAACCAGTCGATTACTTGGGACGTATACCCGCTGTGCTTAGCGGTAATGATGTGATTATTATCTGGTGGTACCCGACGACGTTCAATGATACGTCAAAAGATCACAAATCGTATCTAGTCGAAGACATTACCCTCAAAAATTGAAAAAAATCCCCTCGTTCCCCGTAAATAGGCGAAACCTCCAAAAAAATTACAAATTTAAAAATCGCTAATTTTCAAAATTTTTTCAATTTTTTTTACTAAAAATTGCTATAACTTTTTTAAAAATAACCAAATAAATATAATTTTTTTTTTATAAAGATGCATAATATCATTACCTTTCATTTGGTATATTTTTTTTTTATATGTGACCCTTTACTTGCCCACAGGGGGGATTTAAAATGACAACTTTTTCACAAAAAATTAACTTTTTCAACTTAACTTTTGAAAGTGTTCCGGAAGGTCTGACACTTTTATATATATCTTAAATTAAAGCTAATGTAATTTACTTTATTATGCAAAAAAAAAATTTCGGACTTTGTTTTATCTTCAGGGTGAAAATAGCTACCGAATGCTATTTTTGTGTGAAAATTTTCGATTTTGAATTTTACATTTTTTACTTTATTATGCTATAACTTTTTGAAAAATGTATGGATCATTACAATTTTTTTATGAGGAGTAGTATTTATATAGGTCTTTCATTCGACATACTTTTTTTTTAAATCGGACCATTTCCCTTAATACAGAGGGGATTCAAAACAAAAAAATGCATATAAAAAGTAGAACTTTTTCAACTTAACTTTTGAAAGTGTTCCGGAAGGTCTGACACTTTTATATATATCTTAAAGTAAAGCTAATGTAATATACTTTATNTTAAATTAAAGCTAATGTAATATACTTTATAATGGTAAAAAAAAAACTCGGGCTTTATTTTATCTTCATGGTAAAAACAGACATTAAACTTAATAAAAAAAATACGATTTTTGTAAAAAAATTTTTTTTTATATTTTTAACTTTATAATGCTATAACTTCTCGAAAGATGTATGGATCAATATAATTCTTTTNCGAAAGATGTATGCATCAATATAATTCTTTTTTACGTAGATGCATGATGTCTTTACCTATCATTTGGTATATTTTTTTTATAAATCTGACTTTTTACCTGCCTACAGGGGGGGATTCAAAATGACAACTTTTTCACAAAAAATTGATTTTTTTAACTTAAATTTTGAAAATGTTCCGGAAGGTCTGACACTTTTATATATATCTTAAATTAAAGCTAATGTAATATGCTTTATCATGAAAAAAAAAAATTTCGGACTTTATCTTATCTTCATGGTGAAAATGGCTACCGAATGCTATTTTTGTGTGAAAATTTTCGATTTTGTATTTTCCATTTTTAACTTTATTATGCTATAACTTTTTGAAAAATGTATGAATCATTACAATTTTTTTATGAGAAGTAGTATTTATATAGATCTTTCATTCGACATACTGTTTTTTTAAATCGGACCATTTCCCTAAATACAGGGGGGATTCAAAACATAAAAATGCATATAGAAAGTAGAACTTTTTCAACGTAACTTTTGAAAGTGTTCCGGAAGGTCTGACACTTTTATATATATCTTAAATTAAAGCTAATGTAATATACTTTATAATGGTAAAAAAAAATTTCGGACTTTATTTTATCTTCATGGTGAAAACAGACATTAAACTTAATAAAAAAAATACGATTTTTGTAAAAAAATTCTTTTTTATATTTTTAACTTTATAATGCTATAACTTCTCGAAAGATGTATGGATCAATATAATTCTTTTTTTTGTAGATGCATGATGTCTTTACCTATCATTTGGTATATTTTTTTTATAAATCTGACTTTTTAGGGGGAGATTCAAAATGACAAATTTTTCACAAAAAATTGACTTTTTCAACTTAAATTTTGAAAGTGTTCCGGAAAATCTGACACTTTTATATATATCTTAAATTAAAGCTAATGTAATATACTTTATTATGAAAAAAAAAAAATTTCGGACTTTGTTTTGTCTTCACGGTGAAAATGACAACCAAATGCTATCATTGTGTGAAAATTTTCGATTTTATTTTTTACATTTTTAACTTTATAATGCTATAACTTATTGAAAAGTGTATTGATCAATATAATTTTTTTATGGGAAATACTATTTTTTAATAATCCCATTTTCATTCGACATACTTTATCTTAATCAGGATATTAATAAGGAACTAGCAGTTTATGAAGCTTTTGGAATAATCCACCAATTTTTTAAAATTAAACACTACCTAAAGATTTTCATCGAAGCGTTTTTTTAGCTTCGATGCGAAGCTGAGAAGGTATTAATTTTACCATGATGTGTTTATTTTTTTTTTTATTTTTTTTTTTATTTTTTTTTTTTTTTGTGTCTGTCACTACTTTTTCTCAGCTCTCACTGGACCGATTTCTTTTAACAAT